AAAGTACAACGACCGCGACGCACTAAAGCAATCCATGACACACCAGACGATGGTGTTGGATTACCGAGTGTGCCCAAAATATTTGGTGAGCATGCATAGTCATCAGTGAAATCATTCGCATCGGTAACGTGCACTAATTTACCTTTGACAGACAGAATTCTACCCTCACCATAACGTGCCTTCTCTTCTGCATATTGCACCTCGTGCTTAATGTGATCATCGCCGTAATAGGTGTAATTGATGAAGGCAAATGTATATGTATCCATAGCAATGCGATCTTCGGTCATCACGGCTAATGACTGTGAAGCATTCACTGAACGAAAATAGCGTTCTATGTCCTGATTGCCAATTGACATCGCAGCTACAAATGTGGTGGTTGTCGTTGTTGAGGTTAGTCTGAGGCCACCGAGCAGACCAACTAAACAAACAAACAGGAATAACTCCTTTGAACACATTTCGATGTATCCTCTTTATTAAGCGTTTGGGTTAAAAATTTTCTCGATTTAAAATTTGTTGCACTCGAAATCGGCACTTTGTGTTGTTGCTTTTTGTATCCAGCAATCTTTTTATCGATTCAGTTGTTTTATAAAATATTTCAACGAAAGATTTTTTTGTGAAAATTTATTTTGAGATATTTTTGCATTTAAGCTTTTGTTTTCTCTCAACATTGATAAGTGAATTTGTTAATTTTTTTTTATTATTTTCTTGTGCCGTTGACTGCTCACGTTTCGTAAGAGTTTTTCACCTTTCGTTTTTCAATGTAGCAACGTTTCTGAAAATGAAAATAAAAAATATTCAGTTTTTGCTGAAAATCAATTTGATATTTGCAAAAATAAAATATATTGCATGTGTATTGGTCTGTGTTTGTGTTCAAAGATATGACATTTTAAAACATTTATGATAAGATTTCGAAATTTGTTTGTAAAAAATTTAAAAGTGTGCGGTGCTTTTCTGATTCCTTTTCATTTAGAAGACGCAAAATTTCATAAATTGTAGTTTTTTTTCGTTAGATTTTCAAGTCATGCAAGAGAAAAGGGAAATAATCTTTCAGAAGATTAGATTTACCTATACCGATTTGTTTTTTAACAACAAATATCCAACAAATAACACATCAGCTTTATTACCCATATTTATCAAGTATTAGTATATATTTTTTTAATAAGATAAATTATTGAACTTTTTCAATAGTGTTTAACTGTTTACGTTAAATTGAAGCACAAATAATACAGACCTTTTTAAGGTATTACAATAACATAAAAAAAATTGAATAAGAGAAAAAACTTTTATATATATTTCTAGTAGCATCACCTTACTAACCATTTCCTACATTCCTACGTCTATTCTACTAAACATAACAATTCCATGTAAATGTCACCATTTTAAATAGGCAAAACTTGTGCCGAATTGCTTGTGTATTGGCACTGTCTTTCCAAATATAATTTATTCAATTCTATTCTCCATTCTACTAAACCTCACTAAATCTACATTAAACAGTACCATTTTTAAACAACAGACAAGACTCAATGCGAATCTCTCACGCATAGACCAGATTAACACGACACGTTTTGTGGAGCAGTTAAATGGTAGAAGTCATTCCTCCAAATATTGGGCGACACATATTCGTGTGGTCATCGACAACGTACATTGATTATCCATTTAGAATGAATTACATAAAGCTTGAAAATACGTATAAGATCTTCAAATGCTGTCAGGGCTGTCATACCCTATTTTATTATTAACCGATAAGAGAATTAATATTCTATTACTGTCTGATAATATAATTAATATTCTATTATTGATCGTTTATCAACTATTCGGAACTCTTAACTGTATGTTCATGTAAATGTCATAGAAGATAAACTAAGTAATGGAAATGATTCTCAAGGAACTCTAGAAAAGATGTGTTCATAAAGTGCATATGAACAGATCTGGAATGAGTATATGAAAAAGCAGGAATAAAAGTGCGGCGAATCAGTGTGGCATTGCTGTCAAATTTTAAAAGAAGTGTAAAGATAAGTGCACCCAATTTATACTAGTGATGTTCTTGAAAGGTTGCAGAACTCTTATAACAGTCATAAGTGAGCTGATGGGTCACAGTTTATTTTCGCCAAAGCGAGCCAACAATAAAAGAGAACTTAAAACATTTCTAATTTTATGTCCTGCCTTGATGCATATATGCTTAAAATGGATTAATTTCAGGAAGTTGACGTACGCGTCAGGAATAGAACAGAATAGTTTAAGTACTTCTTAGTTTCGCAAAAAAGGTAGATATCATACATGCTGCCTACTACAAATCTACATTGATATCAACCTCAATGCACAGATTACGGTTAGAATATATCCAAGGATAGATTAGCTAGCCAAGTTGACTTAACCCTAACTGTTAAAAAAATAAATTAAAAATATTTATTATTAAAAAATTAAAAAAAAAAAAAAGAAAAGGGTGGATGACGATTGATCTTAAAGATGAATAGAAATGCTTTATTAAG